GAATTTTGTATTATTATGTGAGTTATTCTTTTGTAAACCTTGTTATAGTTTTACATTATTAATCATTGACTTGCGACTGAATTTTTCGTGCATTTTTTGTGGATTTCTTCTTGGAGAGTTGCTGCATTGTTGTAGTGTAAGTTGGGAATTTAATGAGTTTCAGTATGTTTTCTTGAATTATTCTTGCAAGTATATAGTCTACAAGGCTTTATTGGGCAGTTCATCAGTCTAAAACTGAGTTCAATCATACGGAATTCAATTCGGTCGATTTGATTATTTATTCTAGATGCAAACTTTGGTCCAGTCATGACATAGGTTTTCAACTGCAAGCTAGCTCACTCCCTCTGCTTTTAGTTAGGTTACATCCAGCTTTTTTGTCAGGACTAATCGGTGTTCCTTTTATTGATCATAATGTTGTGAATAGGGCTGTTGACTGATTGTTCTTAGGTTCAATCCCATCTCTTCATGCTATGATATGACCTCTGATTTTCATGGAGCATGTTTGGTACTGCTTCTTTGATCACAGCTTATACGTTAATTCATATAGAGAGACTCTCAATCATATTTTTTCAGAAGATTGACTTGAAATCTGAAGCATAGTCCTTGTTCTTCATATCTGTTTTTCCAAGTTGGAGCTCCACTAATGTTGGGTTCTGCAGGTAAAAATCTGAACTTTGTGTGATTGATTAATTTAAAACCCAAAATTTAGATGTTGGCCTGTGTTTCTTGTAAAAATCTGAACTTTATGAACTATCTAATTATACAGTTTTGCGTAAGGCATATTACTGTTGCTTCAAGTGCTTGGTGCAGTAGATTAACACACTATATAATTGTGCTCATAAAATTGGATGATCAGTTTAAGTCTGTAACCATATAGTTTGATAATGTTGCTTCCCTTTTTCGTTGGTTCTGATGTTATGAAGATTTAAGATGTCATTACTGCTTGCTGAGACTTGCTGTTTGAGTTTAAAGGTTATTGGACCTTGGCTAATTTAAGTCTGTTTGGTCATTGTAGAGGCCACTCGTGCTACTTCCGATATTCTTGGCAATTATTATTTGCAGAACTTCACTTTTATAAAGCCATTGAAGATGATCTGTGCGAAGAAGGTGCCTGTTGTTCTTCAAAGGTTGCACCTTTATTGTAAATTAGTCTCTATTTCAAATAATGCTAGGCTTGCAAGGGTGAGGAGGACTATCATAGGGGTGTAATTTTGGTATCCATGGCCAGTAAAATTTAATGCTCCTGTCATTTTCCAACTCTTTTTCCCATATGATTTTCTTGTTTTAGGTGAAGCTGATTAATCCCCATAGTTCTTGAAATCCTTGAGAACTGTAGGGAAAATTTTTGATTGTAAAAAATTGATAAAAATATGCAACTTTTTCAGCACCAATACTCCTCTTCAGAAACAGTTGAATCACCCGGTTGCACATCCAAACGACCCATTCGTTTTGTCATGCCTGCATTTTTTAATCCGAGCTGTTGGATCGTGTAGCCGTTGTGTACAAGTTCAATAGCCGAAAAATGATCTAGATTGTCAATTAGACTTGCCGGTTTCCATTTCAAGTTAACTACGAAAGCATAGTATACATACATACATACTATCCTCTCATCACTCATATATAAAACTCAAATCCAAACATCAGACTATATATCCCATGATCCCCATCAAGCTACCATTTTCACATTTACCGCCTTTTTCTTCGTTGTGCCATCGAGGAAAACATAAGTTTCGTACCTAACAGTGCAACTTCCGGTGAGAGTCCTTCCACCGACAGGCGAGGTCGTGGCCGTAAATGCCGGGAGAACATTAATGGCATAGTCGAGGCAGCTCGTGCAATTCCCGCTAGAGAGATCTCGACCGCATTGTGCCATGCCGTATATAGTCGCGTTCTCTTTCTTCTCCACCGCGCTCCCTTGCGCGAACATCCTTGCCGATTTGCTTGCTTTCTTCTTTAGGCTTTGCAGCAAGTCCCGG